ATATATTGTAGAGGATATGCACTGAATTTTTATATGCTTGCATAACTTCCAAGGCAGTTTATTAGGTATAATCTTGCATCATGATGCATGTAGAAAACTTGAAGTTACTCGAATTTGGTTGTTTGTGTGAATATTTAGTTAGCAAGATGTGGACAATATTTTATTTTAATCTTTAAAAATATTGCATCCTATCATTTGCATGTCTATGTTGCGAATCTAATTGGGATTTTGATAAAATAGAAATATTATGTGTTTCAAGGCACAATAATTTTGTCAATATATAATTTGTATTATTGTGTAGTGGCCCCATGGGAAATCATTTTTCCTCTAATAAATAAGAGGGATTGATTGGCTTATTTCGCAATTCAAGTTCTCGTTCAATTTATGGTTTTGAGAATTTAGTAGACTAGAGGTTCTATTTGCGTTCGTTGGTAACTTTTTGAGTTTGCTACAAGTCCCCTGTAAGTCCTAGTTTAGTCCAATTCCATGCTCAATCCTATTCTTAATTTCTTATATATGATTTTGTAATTTAATGTTTTACTCATTTTCATGTATTTTTGTTTCATTTCATTTTGTTAGTCTTATCAATGTAAATTTTGCTAGCCTCTCGACCCTTGCAAAGTGAACATTTATGAGGGCTACGCCTGCCCACTATGTCAAGAAAACATGTATAATCAATATTCTAAGTTACTATTAGTGTGCTCTTCAAAACCCACCATGCTAAGAAAGATGTGCAAGGGGTACTTGTAGGAGAAATTTGCAACACACTATTTTTCATATCATGTCAAGAAAACGTGCATAGGGTTTATTCGCTATGTTGTGAATGTTATCTATACATTTCCTTCGCTATACTAAGAAAAAATGAGCATATGCTCTACTTGTCAGCCAAACATATCCCAGTTTGGATCATATGAGTTTTGATGGTTGCAGTTTTATACCTGGGCATAATGTTGATGACAACAATTGCCACTAGTCAACAAGGTTGATGCGATGATTGAATGCACACTTTTTTTCCTTTTTTTGGGTATCTTCTCTCTTTATTTTTTTACTTTTTTTTTTCTTCCTTTTGTTTTCTCTCTCTTTTTAAAAGAGAAAGAGAGAGAGAATGAGAAATGGGTTGAGAAAGTGCATATAGAATGGATAGAGATAGGAAGAGAGATTATTAAATAGATGGAGAGTGATAGTGAGTGAGAGAGAGAGAGAGTGTGTGTGTGATGTTGCTAGATTTAGGTAGGAGCTTATTTGCTTTGGTACTTCGATGATGTAAGAAGTAGGGAGCTTGGATCACTATTATTTAGTTGGCGTGTGTTGCAAGCTTTGTGATCAACAAGTGCACAAGGGATGGGGATTTGGTGGAGATGCTGAAGGTTGGGAAATTTAGCTATTTTAGCTATTTGTGATGAGTTCGATGGTGTGCGTCAGTGAAAGGAAAGATGAGGACTGAACATGTTTAACTTAAACTCGCAAGCCTCAAATACTCCTCTTCTCCTTCAGGCATCGTTGGTTCAATGACTTTATTGGTGAGTCCCTTTATCGTAATTTCCTTTGCTATTTTTGGCCACGGGTTTTAGGAATTTTGTAAAGAGGGAGTGGGAGAGGACGAGAGTGCGAGTGATGAGGACATCGAAGATCAACGGCTACGATCGTGTTTACTTATCTTGATGTATTTTATTTGTTATTTGTACTTTTCCTTTTCTACCCTCACTTGAGGGTTTTGTCTTATGTGGCCCTAGGGGCAATTATGTCTTTTATTTTTCCTTCATGTAATTGGCTATTTAAGCCTTCCCCTTCCTCTTGGAAAGGATAATGATTATTGATAATGAAAAGTTTCATGTTTTTGTTGATCTCTTAGTGAGTTCATGATGGGAGAAGCCCGATGAGGGTAATTCGCAATACCCGCCAATCTTTGGAAGAGTTCGAGGTTCGCGGTTCTTACGATCTCTTTGTGAGTTCGTTAGTTATCTCTATTTTTCTCGTATATTCTTGTTCTTCTCTTTTCTCCCCTCTTCATCCACAAAGTATTCCCCTAGCTCCATTGCCGCCGCCCCTTGGAGTCCACTCGCCGGCCACCCTCACGGCTCCGGCCGGCCACTTTGCTGGCAACCTCCCCAATCGTCCACTCCTCCCTCCCGCATGCTCCAAATTTGAAATTTGAATTTCGAATTTCGAATTCTTTCCTATTTTGGAAATCCAATTTAGGAAAGTTTTATTTGATAAATTCCAATTTCAAATTAAAGTAAATTGGAGTTCTCATAACTTACCCCCACGTCATCACCCACCTTGTTCTTCAAATTTCGAAAATTCAAATTTGAATAAATTCCAAAATTTCCATAATTGCCAAAGTCCAAATAAGGAAAGAATTGGATTAAATCCAATTCAAATTTCATGGCATGTGGAGTTACTAATTCTCATCCTAGGTGGCATCCTCCTAATCGGAAATTGATTTATTCACACTAATCTCCCTCCTCTCCTCTCTACATGCCGCCGGCCTCATCAAGGGGGAAATCCATTTAATGCTAGTTTAATGCCATCAATGCCTTGATCCAAAATTCAAATTTCAAAATAACCCCCCTTAATTTCATTCATAATCTGAAATTAATTTCAGATTATGAAATGAAACTCCCATTCCCCTCTCTTGAAACCGCCGGCCTCCCCCCAATTGAGCTCCCCATTAATTCCCCACTTAAGGCCTTAACTCCATTTGATTTGAATTTCAAATTCAAATCAATTCCCTCCTAAACGAATCAAAATCGGAAATTAATTTCAGATTTTGATTAAGTCATTCAATCATCCTCACTTAACCTAATCCTCTCAATCTCTCCTAGCCGAACTAAGCCAACCAGCAGCCCTCACGGCTCCCAAACCTAGCTGCCTCTCTTCAGGCTCCTTTACGATTTTCCCCTCTCCCCCAAATGTCTATTTGCTGTCCTGCACTAGAGGAAGGTTGAAACTATTGTTCTGAAGCCCCTTGCACCAAATTTCTTACCTTTGGAGAGCTCCTAACTGCTGTACAAAGATTACGGCAACAAGACCTTGCTGTCCTGCAGACCAGACAGGTTTCCAAAGTCAAACCAACTGTTGTCCACGTTTGTGAGGAAAGTTAATCTTGGCGAAGTGCAAGGAGGTTCGTGGTTGCTGCCCTCTTCATTCCCAACTACCATACTACCTTGCCGGAGCGCGTATCTCTCTTGCCTTTGGGTAAAATCAACACTCGACTCTCTATCTTCATAGTTGCATCCTTGAATGTGAATTTATTATCTTCATGAAGATCATGCCAATTATTCGCCGCTAGAACCTAGTAATAGGAAGAGTTGTGTGAGGGACCTTTCATAGACTAATCTTAGTGTTAGTATTGGAATTTATTGTTGGAACGATCCATGTATGCAATGTCAGATTAAGTTGGCTATCGTTTTGAACTTAACTTTTATTCATGTAATTTAACTTAAGCTAAGTGCCTTTTAATATTTATCTTATCGTTCAATTCCGCATAAGAACTTGCCTATTATGGCCTCTAAATCTAAGCGTGCAAACTTTCATTAAGAAAATCATTTTCGCATGGGATTGTTTCACATCAGCGAGGGAGGTTGAGGATTGAAGTGAAGCTCACAGCGGTTGAGAGGTGAGTAGGATTTAGTGCTTAGGAGGTTTGGCATTGGGTGGAGGGGAAGGTGGGGACGGTGGTGCAAGGAGTGTGCAAACTTTGATGCGGGCTGGCTAAGGAACGATTGATAAGAGAGATAACAAATGAGCATCTTCTTTGTTTTAATCTTGCAATATTTTATTATTATTTTTTAAATGACTTGACATGATAATGGTGTTTGCATATATGGGCATGGGATTAACCCTAATAATTAATCGTACTTTCAAGTGACTTGTTGATGCACCTAAAGCTTTGATATCAACTTGATGCAAGATGACTTTGGGTTAGGATTTCTTAATGCAACTATTATGAGGAGTTGTATGCTCTCATGCAAAGGCATTCGAGGATTCATAGATCACAAGTAATCAATTAATTCAATAATTTTCTTTTTTAAATGAAAAAAAAAACCTTGTATTCAATATCATTTGATAATGAATTGATTTAAAAAAAAAAATTGATAAAAAATTATCCATAAATTTCATCTATAAAATGGAAACAATTAAATTATGTGAGCAAATCTAATTATTTTCCATCATTCAGATTTCAATGTGCTACTTTTGTTCAAAATCAAGAATAATAAATTACGTAGAAATCTAGCATTCAACTTATATTGGCAATATTGAAAACTAGAAAAGAAAATTATGTTTAAACCACAAGTTATAATTACATTCTTTGAACCACTATTGTCTTGAAAACCTGGGGCTAGTAGAACAGTATTAGTTTCACTTTAAGTTTTAATTTATTTCATTGAAAAAATATTCCTTATTTAGATTGAAATCTCCAAACTCAGTTGACATCAGCGCAAACTACCATTTAAATTTCCAAAATCCTATGAAAACATGGCAGCTGCGCGCAAGAATCACCGCCACTATAATTACTACAATAGCCATATATTGCTGTTACAGTAACACACTACAACTCTATGGCTACGTTATCAGTATATCTCATGTCACTGCTTGCAGAGTACCGTTTGTCAGCTTTTCATTTTGTTTTTTCTTCTTGATTAATTCCAAATTCCACATCAGGCTATTTTAGAGAATGCCAAAATCTACTGCCTCAGAAATTTCCGCATCAACAGCTTGTAGACCAAAATAGGCTAGATGTGGTATTTTTATAATTACTTGTTGGAATTTGCAATATATTTTCATATAGAAAGGAGTTATAATTTAATTGGAAACTGTTTTTTTTCCAGGTTATATGCTTGATTATAATGAATTGTGGAGGAATTCCTTACATATGCATGATATTTTTTATTTCACCCCACCTTCAATTCTGAATCTAGCATTTACATATCAACATAGAACGATTTTATAATACATGAATGGTTACACAACTCCTGAACGCAAATTATACCATTCAGGGAACACCACCATCAACTAAAGAGATGCCAATTTTAGCTCTCTTCTCTCCACTTTTTCTTCTGCAAGGGGCTGGTGTCTTGTTTGCCATATCAAAGTTGGTGGAGAAGCTTGTTCTTCTTTTTCGCAGTGGATCACTGAATGGGCGGTATGTCACAATCTCATCGAGAGCTCAAGACTGCTTTGCTTTCCTACATCATGGCTCAAGGTAGTGTTTCACGTTTTTTGTTAATGAATTGTTAGATTACTATATTTCCTATTGGTAACATACATACAAGTTTGCATTTATGTATTTAAAAAATTGATTACTTATAAAAGTATGATATCCTTGTTCCTCTGCTTGTATGTCATATTCTTGCAATTATAATCTAGATTGCTCGGATGGTGGTCCATTGATGAAGGAAGCAAAGAAGAACAAGCACGGCTTTATCATGCTGAAACAATTGGGTATGTATAATGAAATTGTACTCATGATTTTGTGATTTTTTATAGATGAGAACCCTTTTCATATTTTATTGTGATTGGGATTCCTTTTGAAAAAGAATTGGGCATATCCTGGCCATAATGTTTAAGATACTTTTAAAATCTTTGAAGTTATTTAAGATGAGTGAAATATTAGAGTTGATTGATTATCTATTTCACTTATCTCAAAATAATTTAAGGGTTTTAAATTCTATCATGATCAAATTTTGAACGGTATATCTTCAACTAGATTTTTTTTTTCATTCCTTTTTATTAATAATTTAATTGCAGGAAACTGCTTCTTATCCACGTATTGTGACTTCTGTCATGCATTATGTATTGCTTTATTTTTTTTTTCGATGAAAGTTACATGATGTATTACTTTGGTGCTTGATTTTACTGCGTGCGGCTGAGATTTTTTTTCTGCCAAATTATCTTTGTTGTTGCATGATTATCTGCAATTATGGATAGGAAACTAAGCACCTTGGCTATGAGTTTCATAAAGAATGATTTCATAGTGATAAAATTTAAATACCGTTTATCTTGGATGGATAGTACCATTAGTCGTTTTATTGATATTGAAACTATCATGGCTTACGTCTAAACTATACTGAAACTGCTCATCTTTAGGAAGCTTTGAATGAAGCCATTTATCCGTAGTCGTTGTCTACTGACTAATGACGACTCGTCTCCCCTGATCAATGACGGGCTGAATTGAAGTGTGTGTTTGATCTGGAAGGGTATTTTGGATCTTTGGGTTTGTGTTTGATGTTATGGTGCACAGACACGGACACACGGCGACATGGATGCGACACAACACTGATACGGGACACATCAATTATTAAAAATATAGAACACGTCGTTGTAATTTTTATTCCTTAAAAATAGTGTATAGAAATTGAGTTAGCAGAATATTAAAAATAATTGGAAAATAATAAATTATTAATTTATTTAACTAGGATTTGTGTTTAAAATTATTAATATTAGGACGTCAAGAGTTGGACATTGATGTCGTGTTTCAAACATCAAGAGGGAAGACGACATTGCTAAAAAGAGTCGAGCATCAAGTGTCGTTGTCGAGATATTGTCGATCATCTATGTTCAGATATGTTGGTCAAAGATAAGATTTTGAGACAACACGGGTTAAGATTGTGAGGATAGAAATTGCTAGCATCAAATTTTGATTTTCAAATGGTTTTGAAACATTGATGTTGTGACGACGTTGGTCGTTGATGACATCGGTTGTTGCTGTGAAACCCTGGCTGTAATCTATAGATAGAAATGAAAATGATATGTTCAAGGAATGAGGTATTGAGCAAGGGCAATTGATTTGGGGCTATTGAGAGGAGACAAAAAAATTAAGTTTTTATTTTTTAATAAATGAAAATTTGAGGAAGCTAATATTATGTGGGAAAAAGAAGTTAGTAATATTAAGAATATTGCAAAAGATGTGCTTGAAGTAAAGGGAAATCAAAATGTGTAAGAAAAGATAAAAAATAAGAATATATAAAAATTGATTTAGATGTATAATTAAAAAAGATGTAAAGAGGGTCCATACGGAGTCTAAGAAAATAATATGTGATGCAAAAATTTTAACTTTTAATGATTTATAAAATAGATTATATACTAAGGAGGACGAAATATATATATATATTAACAAAGATATAAATTAGTAAGGATTTAATTCAAGTGATATTTATGAACGAAGAAGATAAAAATTGCTTTTATTAGAAGAGGATATTCAACAAAGATGGATGAGATATTTTTCTAAACTTTTTAATGAAGATTATGAGAATGCGATTAACTTTGGTGACCTTAGCAGCCTAAATGAAAATAAAGATTTTTGTTTTTATCAGCATATTAGTAAAAATGAGGTTAGAGAGGTTTTAAAGAAAATGAAGTATGAAAAAGCTGTTGTACCTGATGATATTCTAATAGATGTGTGGAAATGCTTAGGAGATGAAGGAATTTCTTGGCTTACTAAACTTTTAATATTATTTTGAAGACTAAAAAGATGCCAGATTTGTGGAGAATTAGTGTGTTGATTCCTATTTTTAAGAATAAAGGTGATGCACAAGATTGTGCAAGTTATAGAGGAATTAATTTGTATCATACTTTAAAACTATGAGAGAGAGTTATGGAGCATAGGTTGCGGTGTAATACTAATGTTTCTTAAAATCATTTTGGTTTCATGCTGGGTAGGTCTACTATGGAAGCCATACATTTATTGAGAGGTTTGATGGAGAATTGTAGAGAATAAGGAGGATCTACATATGATATTTATTGATTTAGAAAAAGCATATGATAAAGTTCCAAGAGAAGTGCTATGGAGAGTTTTAGAAAATAAAGGGGTTAATAATGCTTTTATTCAAGTCATTAAGGATATGTATGTAGGAGCTGTTACTTGTGTTTAAACACAAGATTTTTTGACCAAGTATTTACCAATTTCAGTTGGATTACATCAGGGATCGGCCTTAAACCCATATCTTTTTGTTTTAGGTCTCGTTTGAGAGGGCGTTTTTTTACTTTTATGTCTAGAAATGGAAAAATTATTTTTTGGTCGCTGTTTGGATGGGACGCTTCTATAGAAATGCTTTTTAAGGAACTTTATTTTTCTATTATTTTGAGAAGCTTTTTGATATTTGCTTCTCCGTTAGAAAACTCAATTCCTTTAACCAATGTTTCAAAAATTACCTTTTTCAAAAGGTACCAAATAACCAAACGAAGCCGTAGTCTTGGATGTTCTCACTAGACATTTGCAAGAGGTTGTACCCTGGTGTATGCTTTTTGCTGATGATATTCTTCTTGTTGATAAGACTAGAGAGGGAGTTGAATGTAAACTTGAATTATGGAGGTCAACCTTAGATTGTAAAGGCTTTCGTTTGAGTATAGCTAAAATTGAATATATGGAGTATAATTTTAGTAATAATAGATCTAGTGGAGGGATTGTGAATTTGGGTGATCAAGTTATTAATAATAGTACACGCTTTTGATATCTTGGATCTATTGTTCAGAGTGATGGTGAAATAGTTGGGGATATTATTAGTAGAATTCAAGTTCGATGGTTGAAGTGGAGGAATGCATCGAGCTTGTTGTGTGATAGACATAACCCTCTCAAACTTAAGGGAAAATTCTATAAGATGGTGGTTAGACCTGCAATCCTTTATGGTGCAGAATGTTGGCCATTAAAAGAGAGCATAATATTAAGTTAAGTGTTGCAGACATGGTTTAAAATTGCCAATCAAAGTGATGTAGGACTACAATGCTTGCAATGAATTTATGAAGAGTTTGCAAACTTATTGATTAGAGAAATAACAAAATAGGCATATTAGCAGATAAAACGAAGAATCAAAACGTAAGAGCAGTTACTGTCATTTAGGCTAAATTGCACATAAAGAGATTTAAACCATCAAAATAATGTCGGAAAATAACATCATGCAAACGTTGTAGTTTTCAACGACAAAAATCCCTAGTCTAACAATGAGATTAGTAAGCAATTGAATGCGCTCAAATCCTTATGTTTACTAAGCTTGGTAGTAGGTAGATGCGACCTTCGAGATTACAATCAATATCACAAAGAAAAGATTAGACTTAGAAAATACAAGAAAGGTAGTGATTAGGAAACCTTCGTCAAGGATTGGTTACAATCCTCCACTCGACAGTCTCCAATTGGTTTTCGATTGCTTCCACCAAGGTATCCAAGATACGCTCTATGTAGCCTTCTACCGTTTGGTCGATCCTCGGGTTGACGTCGAAGAATGTTGAATGGAGAATGTGCACAAAGCCGTGTTCATCGTAAGCAAGTCCGTAATCAGTGTCGGGGTCAGCCATTCATGGATGCTAAATGATGATCTCCTCCAAGGGGTGCTAGTAATCTCGAACTTTGTTGAAGAGAAAGAAGTTTCTCTTCACCTTGAAGTGAGATGACAAGTTGTGGCCGGCCAAGGGAAGAGGGTTAGGGACGAGTAGTAGGTTAAGTAGGGAAGACAAGTGAAAAATATGAAATAAATTTCATATTTTCAATTGGAGGGAATAGGAATTAATTTGAACTCTAATTCCAATAGGGGAAGCTTTAATTTGAGAAAGAAATCAAGAGGTGGGGGCATGGGGGGTTTCAGCCAAGCACGAGAATGGGGGCAAGTGTCTAGATGCAATGTATTTGGAATTATGAATTTAATTTAATCAATCCATCATGAGTTGATTGATTGATTTAAATTAGGATCCTTTAAAAAAAAGGATTAAGAGGAAATAGGAAAGATTTGAAATCTAGATTGGATTTAATTTCAATTTCAAATACTTTCCAAAAAGCAAGTGGAATTAAATAAGGAAGGGTGGGGGAGTTTGGAAATAAATCCAATTGGATTTATTGAAGGGGGGGTCGGCGGCATCAAAAGGTTGGGAGGGGATTTGGGGAGTGTGATTGGGGGCTTCCTATTTGGGGCTTAGGAATTAGGAAAGATTTAAATTAATTCCAATTTAAATTTGAAATTCAAATAGGGTTAATTTAGAAACTTTCCTAAAATAGATTTAATAATTTAATAAAGATTTTAAATTTCAAATTGATTAAATTTGAATTCAAAATCTGTCACAATCATACCAATTCAAATTAGGCAATGGAAATCAAAGAGGAAAGGAGGGTAGGGCCGGCGGGTGGAGGGGATTCGGGTAAGGGGGCCGGCGGCTAGTTGGGATGTTTGTGGAGCTCGGTCGGGAAGAGGAGATGGCTTGGGGAGGGAGAAGTGTTTGGATGCAATGATGGCCAGTGGTGGTGGTGAGAGGGGCAAGGAAAGAGATAGGGAAGAAAACCACGAACCCGACTCGTCTAGGTTGGTGGGTACTACGCAACTTTACCTCTCCTAAGGATTTCACTCCAACTCTCAAGCTCTCATGAGAAGCCAAACAAGAGAAACAAAAATTTTACTTAATCATTCATTAACTTTGAAAGAGAAACATGGGGCTATAAATAGCCTCGTACATAAGATTCAAAATAGAAAAGACGACAATGCCCTCAGGGCTTACATATGACATCCCTTACTAAAAGGGTACAACGGCAAATTAAATAAAACAAATACAACGATAACATAAATAAGAAAATACATAAAATAAATCAAAAGTACAATGACTCAATCGTGGCCGGAAATCGGCGGCCACGCCTTTGATAAACCTTCCATGATCTGATGTCCCCATCACAAAGGCACGCCTCAGCGCATTCTATTCCCGCTGCGTAGTAAGTTCCGTGCTTAAGCGGCTTTGTTCATTAACGTTCACTATACGTTCTTCTTGTTGTTGGATCGGAAGTAACGACGGCAGTTTGTTCGCTGCAGAGGCTTGTGTTGTGACTAGCTCTTTGTTTTTTTTTCCACTGCAGAGGCTTTTTTTTTTTTTTCCTGCTAGGCTTGTAATGTTGGATTGGTAGTAACGACGTTCTTCTTGTGAATAACACTGTTTGCTCTTCGTGTTATTTGATCAAGTGATATACTTTAAGCATTTTGGGAGAGGTTATGAAGCGTCAAGTTTGCTTTCTAATGAATCTTTTTATTTTTATTTTTTATGTTTTGGTTATTGACATGAAAGGCTAAGTGCGTATATGTTCTGAAATTATTCTAACTCAACAATATTATTGTATTTTGATAGCAAATTGACCTGAAAATAATGCTGAAGGAATGAAGTAAAACTGGTAGGATTTCTTAGGGTTTTTGAAAAAGCTTCTAAATATCTTCTTAGTTTTATTGCATTCAATTCTTTGTTTTATTGCATTCAATTATTTCCTAGTTTTATTGCATTCAATTCTTCGGTTCTTCCTTGGTTTTTCTTCAACGTTATCCTATTATGTTCACTGAATTGAGTGAATTCATCCTATAATAACAAGAAAATTTATTGTTTTTAGTAAAACAGAGAATGAAAATAACACCTTGGCTCTTGTCTCCTTCCATTTCTTCTTATGCTGAACAGTTGTGAGCACAAACTTATTAAATATTTTTTAACTGTTGAAGGGATTGTTTACATATACATATACATTACTCTCTTTTATACATATTCATTCCTCTCTTTCAAAAAAATCTTTTATACATCAGCTTCCTATTGCAATGTCTTTTCACTTTTTGAGCGACATTTACTATTGGAGTTGTGTAGCTTCAATATGCTTTGAATATGATTGCAATGTCTTCTAAAGACATGAAAATGAAAACTGTGTTAATCGATATCCCAACCAAATTATGCATGTATACTGCATCTTCAATATGCTTTGAATAGGATTATATGCCTGTCGAGGACATATGAGAGTGATATTTATAGATGAGAAAAGAAAAAAAAATATAAAAATTCTTATCTTCTTGGACAATTTAGATATTTACAATATGTTTATTGTGCTGATCGCCAATGCATTCATGCGCTAATTGTGTGAGACTTTCAATATTTTATGAAAAGATTGAATATTATGTTGTAGGGTTTCGTAAGGGATGGTTAGAAGTAGAGATAAAGCTGCATTGAGTAATAAGAAGGATCCGACATGGAAATATAACGCTCAAGTGGAAATTTATTCTATAATTATTAATCACAGGCTTAAAAGTTTAATCATGTGATGCTTCTATAATTATTAATCAAGAATTAAGCCGTTGAATCTAAATGTAAATTTATTCTATAATTATTAATCACAGGCTTAAAAGTTTAATCATGTGATGCTTCCTACAGGTATAATACTTTTCAGGGCTATCCACCCGAGGTGGTGAAGAAAATGCCAAAGAAAGATCTTGCAGAAGAGGTATGCTATTTTTATTTATTGCGTTATTTTAATGAGTCCTTTATAATATCCTATTTTGTTAAGACCTCATATCTAATATCTTTTTTATCATAATATATTGTTAAATATTTAAAATGCATTTTGAGCATTTTGTTGGTCTGTAGGTCTGGAGACTACAAGCAGCTTTGGGTGAACAATCTGAGATCACTAAGTACAGCCAACAGGAGTATGAAAGGCTTCAAAATGTATCATCTTTAACCTACCAATTAGTTGACATGCTAGCAAATGATTGTCACTCACCATATTTGTTAGTTATATTTACTTAATAGGATTTATTACTATTGTTGTTGCTCAAACCAACTTTTTTTTTCTTTTTACATTTTAAAAATTGGATCTTTTTAAAATTTCTCCCCTAAATAGCAATTACGGTTTCGTTTGGGATGATTTTCTTACTGCTTCTTAAAGCAGTTTTTAGTACAAAAAGCAATAAGACAGCCATCTCAAACAAAGCCTACATTTGTATTATAGATGGATTGCACTCATCTAATTATTTCATATATATAAAGCGTATGCGACAAATAGGAGATATATCGGCAATATAGTTATTGGAAGATTTGCATACATACCTTTTTATTTCATTGCTATTTACATATCTAACATCTAAAATATTAATATTACATATGCCATTGAGGAGAGAATGCCTGTTTATGATGTATGAGTTCTTTAATATATAGAAAAAAAAATGTTATAAATGATAATTGTAAATAATTATAGGCGACTTCTGTGTGCATTTGAATGCGCGTGATTTTTGATGCGGTATTCTTGTGAATATAATTCTGTGCTGAAAAAAAAAATGTAAATAATGTTAAGTTTTCATTTTTAAGATAATCCCTTTTATATCTTGTTACCAACAAATTTAAATTAAAATATATTTAGGGATCATTTAGTTTCTTGCAGACGGAAATAATATTTGCAAAAATATATTTAGGGACTATTTTTTTTTTCAATTTATTTGAATTTTTAAAGCCTTTCAACGTCATTATTTCGTTATCGATTGAGCTTTCTGTGTAATATTACTTCGTTTGAAGGGTGTTTTAAATTTATATTTTCATATTATTGTAAATGTTGAAAATCAGAATTACGTGGCAATTTTTGTAAGTTTAGATTTCAGTAATTAATAAGAAAGTAAATTAATAAAATCTCGATTATTTATCAAAAAAACCATCATTAAAAACTAAAAACACTTAACTAATAACTTTAATCGTTTAAAATAGACATAAAGTGGCCATCTTAAATTGTAAATTTACTTATTTTTTAAGTTTAATATTTATTAAAAATATCAAAAAGTTTAGAGTTATATTTAATTTAAAAGCCTAATTTTTACCGTATAAAATAATGCATAAAAAATTTCAAAAATTCAACAATACTAAATTCAAATATTATTCACCGAATCATTAAAATCAGTTAACCAATTGAAATATACAAGAAGCATTTGAAAGATTAAGTTTTTAAGATATACTATATTGAACTGCAGGACTAAATATTGTAATGAAGTCTGATTACTTGAAACAATTATTATGTAAGGACACCTGACATAGTTCTACATCCAGACGCAAAAAATATATCGTCATGTGCTCTTACTTTTTACAGCGCGGCCTAACGACCCAACCCAGAACGGAACCCAATATTACTATATTCGTGTATTACTAGATATTGCTCGATATAGCTTAGCAATAACAAGAAATACCACTCTGTCAAGATCAATACCGAGCAATACATAACAATACCAAACAATATCTAGCAAAATCGGGGTATTGCTCGATATTTACTCGGTATTGCTAGGTATTGGACTTGAGAGAGCAGTATTTCTCGTTATTGTCGACCAATACCGAGCAATACCTAGAAATACCTTGATTTGCACAAATCAGCCAATACATAACAGTACCGAGTCGGGGTCGTCAGGCCACACGGTAAAGAGTAAGAACACGTGGCAACATATTATTGACGTCCAAACATAGAGCTACGTCAGGTGTCCGGACCAAATAAAATTTTGATTACTTGAGCTTATTATGACAACGCCACATTATTTTGTCAATAATTATTTTTTTTGCCATTTTTTATTAATTTATTTTTAACATAATGATTATAACAATCTTTATAAACACTTATAAAATTCATTCCATACATTTATAAGTAAATTAACCTATTTTCATCAGTCTCACTTCGAAGCAAATTTAAGCGGACAAATTATATCAAAATAAATTACAGAAAACCAGTAATTTAAGTAAAGATAAGCCATTTTCCATTGCTACAACAAATCTGTCATCTAGTCTCATTAATGCTAGTCAGTTCTTCTTCAAGTTTCTAGAGTAAGAAGAAGAAGAAGAAAACCTAGATTGTGTCGCCGAGAAGTAATCGAATGCCGACGGCCCCACCGAACGTCTAGTAGCCGTTGGAGAATCTGATAGCAGGGGCTCATGTACAGGATTTCTACTCTTGGCTTGAGTAATAGACAGAGATGATAAATCTGAATCCACAGGCTTGATCTGTGACTCCAAGTTTCCAATGGCCATAGCATAGATTGGCCCACCAGATCTCTCATTCTGTTGGAGAATATTGATAATATTTGGTTTGTATGTGTAACGGAAATATTTGATTGCCAAGATGGGCCCCATTCCTATTGCAAAAATAAGCTGAAAAATAGGAACCAATCAAATCAGCTAAGCCTTTGATAGGAAATTACTTTACTAGCTCAGTATAGTATGATTATAAGCTTACAATCATTGTAATCCAATAAGATGGTTGTCTAAAGAGACGAAACATTATAGTGTACATCCCAAGTCTTGGAATAGTGCTCACCAAGCTATTGATCAAATAAAAAGCAAGAAAATTTCCCCATATGGCAATATGTTGCAATATGGTGAAAGAACTGCATTCATGAAAAATAGTTTAATTAGAAAGGTAGAGGTAGATCTAAAAAGACTTGGTTAGAGAATATTATAAATGATCTTTCTTTATTAGATTTCAATGAGAATTTGACTTTTAACAGGACATAATGGCGAAAAAGGATTCATGTAGCCGACCCAACGTAGTGGGACAAAGACTTGATGTTGTTTTTGTAGAAAACTTTGTTGGAGTCAGGGAATCAAGATTGAATATGAGAAAGCTTACTTCATTTCAAGTGTGACAACTAAAACCTGTAGCCATATGCAACCCGAAAGTGCGACCATTGAGACCTCTTCCATCTCACTTTTTTCACCGGAATAGGCATGCATGGTTACTAGGAAAACCACAAGTGCCTGTCAAATAAATTTATTAGAGCCAGGTGAAACTCATAAATAACATTGAAGACTACTGTATCTTGCAGTCTTAACAGTCTAGTTTAAATGGAACAAGAGTTCAACAAGCATTGGACAAGAGTTGAAAACTTAGCAATCTTTTGAATATTAAAAATGAGGATAACATAGAGCTAGTTAACGGTCTACATACAAACCAACTAAAGCTTTCGTTAGTAGGGGTATAAATGAGCCAAATTTGAGAGAGCTCGAGTGTTGTTTAGTTCGGCTCGTCAAAAAAAGGAGCAAATTTTGTTTGTTTTTATTTGGCTTGTTAACTTATTGAGCCTAACACTAGGCATTCAGGAACATAAAGTTTGCTTTAAAGTAATATGTCATGCATATGCATATAGGATTTAAATTTAAATAGATTGTAGAAAAATAGAAAAAATTATTATGAATTTATTGCTTGATTTTGCATTAAGGGTGGAAGTAATCATAGACTTCTCCATAGGGCTTACAATGAAAATAAATTAAATTATTTACAAAAAAATAAGAAAAAAATTTAACAAGAGGGGTCAACAGCTAGAACAAGAAAAAGGTGGCACACGGATTGCAATTTAATTTACAAACTTTAATCTTCGTGAAAGAATTATCAAATCCAAGTTGTGAATCTATTCTTTCCATCATGCAACCGCATAGACTATCCACAATCGGCTGCAAGAGAGATTTAGACCTATATTGTACATAAGAAAAATTTCTGGATAGTCAATTTTATAAAATTGAGTACATCCGTTGGCTACCAATCTCGCTTTACACTACTCAAATTTTCTATATGCTCCATATTTAATAAAGGAATCGAACTTATGTTATTTTTATCATACCATGAGCTCTAAATATAAACCTGTAGAAAATTTGCCAGAATCTTTATTTAGGTCTATACACGTAATAGAGAAGCTTCAACTCACATGATAAGCTGACCGCCCAAACCATCCAGCAAATGTGCTTGGATTCAAAAGCCTGTATTGATGAGGATAAAGCAATGTTAACTGACAAATAAAAATTTGGTTTTTGCCTAATTTTGATGTAGGAAAAAAAAACTGACAAATAAAAATTTCCATTCAGGATTATACACCTTGAGCAGTCATTAAAAGAAGCAACACGTTTTCCAATAGCATGTGAATGGCATCACGCAAAAATTGAAAGAAAAAAAAAAACGGACCTTCCTGCTTGGCAATATACCAAAATTTGTGGATTCTGCATCACTGTTTTCTCACTAAGATCCTTGTCAAGAAAACATGTTAAAACTGGTATGCTCGTGTAGAATACATTATAAGCCATTAAGCTGACTGAATTGAATAAGCTACTCCCAGAGACGCCTGAAAATAAAGAAAAGCTAAAGACAAACCAACGTTAGTGGCAGAGGTCAGAAAGACAAGCTATGGAAGAAAAGAAATGGAAACAACTACATCATTAAGGTGAAAGTAATAACAATATGAGGTGGTTATGAGCGGAAGGAACTCACAGTATCTGTATAAAGCATAGCAGCAAGGATTTGTAAAAAGAATACTGTGACAAAAAAGCTGTACGATTGTAAGAATAACGCCCATGAACAAGAATCAGCCTTTTAAGAAACCTGAATTCTGGCGAATCATGAATAAATAACTGATTAGTTTGCTGCTATCTGACAGGAAAAAAAATATTTCACTTTCTTGCAAAATAATAGAGAATATAAGAATGACTATTATTCTGAAATATGCTATCACCTTCAAGAAATAATGCTAATACAGTTTACTAAAAACTGCAATAATTAAAAACTCACTTACATATCCAGAACAGCGCATCAGCGAAAAATAACGCTAGGTGCAATCAAAAGTTTTTTGGTTTCCTTGAATATATACTTTGCTACGTTTATTTTCATCTATGTATGAAATACTTTATTACATCATTCATAAGGGCAAATTTATAATAGATAAAACAAAGTGAAGGTACAACATTCATAAAATAGGTACTAGAAAATCAATTGAAATGGTTGATAACTACAGTGGAAAGCCAAGAAAGTGCAGCAAGGTGAAAACGAGATTTGTAATTAGACAAAAAAACAAAAGTTATATTAGTTGTTTATGAATCTATCTTTTTTTTAATGGAAACCATTCTCATTAATAAGAAAAAGTAATTACAATAATTACAAAACAAAAGGCTGGACTAACAAAAGAAGAAAAGTAATCTGAAGGGGTAAAGTTTTGCAGAGATAGTTATTCAGATAGATAGAAAACTTGAATAGTAGTACGAAAGTAGTTCTTTTATTTGAAGTTTTTGTTGAAAGTAAGTACGATTGAAGATGTCAGAACAAAGGATCATCTCCTCTTTCTTTTTGTATGAAAAACATCTACCATTCTTTTTGCTCCAAATGATATAAATGAAGAAAAGAAGCACTACAGCAAAATATTAACATATCGGCAGAAAAAATTGCTAACAAGTCTACTGGGTTTCTGAAGGCAATTAACCAGTTCTTATGCCGTGAAATCCCACTAATATTAGTACTCGGTAGGACTTTCAAGGTTTGTTAATAATTCAAAATTGCAAATGAATATTCCACACACACATACACAATTGAAGATGTCTGAACAAAGGATCTTCCTTTCTTTTTGTCTGAAAAACATCTACCATTCTTTTCGCTCCAAATGATATAAATGAAGAAAAGAAGTACTACAGAAATACATTAACATATCGGTAAAAAAGATTGCTTGTAAGACTACTGGATTTCTGACAAGCATTTAACCAGTTCTTATGCCGCAAAATCCCACTTATATTAGTAATAGGCAGGATTTTCATTGTTTGTTGATAATTCAAAATTGCAAATGAACATTCCACACACACATACATACATTCATTCATCTAGAGATGGGGAGATAAGTAATCCCCAGCGGAGTCGCCAGAAATTTGTTCGCTCATGAAAACAGGCGTGAACCTTGCTCTCACAAGCTTAAGGTCCTTATTTTTTCGAGATAGATTGTATTTTAAATTAACCAGATTTTCCCTGAGTAGTGTCAAAGTTTATTTAGATCTAGGTCCTACTTCCTATGAGCACAAGCCCACATAGTTATTTATCCCTTCTAACGCCTAGAAGAGTACTTTCGATTAAGGATGAACTTATATTTAATTTGTGCATGAAGTGCAGGTGTGTGCACCAATGTATGAATGTTCTAAACCCTGGTTGTGGGGGATGAAGGTAGACCCGATCAAGATCCCATGGTTCCGTCATCCCACGAATACCATAGGGTTCAGTCTACCAAAATTAGCGATCATTGATCATAGTATCTAGATAATCTGATTAACAGCCATGGGTTGTGTCCTCTCAGGGATCCCGAGCAAACTGAAGTGGATATGCATTTGTTATTTAGTTTGGATAGGGACTTATAGCTACATTTAGAAGTTTTCCATTGTTTAAATTTAGAATTGGGTCTTAAGGCCCCATATAGAAGTTGCCCGTAGTTTAGATTTGGGTTGGGTCTTACGACTCCATTTAGGAATTGCTCGTGTGATTGGATTTGGGTAGGGGCTTACAACTTTCATTTAAAAGTAGCCCTGATGACGGGGCTTACGGCCTCTATTAGAGGTGGCCCAAATAGCAGGTCTTACAACTTAGCCCTACAAACTAAGATGTCGAGGGGGTTGGAAGTTTAAATGGGTCTTATGGCTTCTAAATTTAGAAGTTGCCTCACGACAGGTCTTACAACATAATCCTATAAGCTAAGTGGCCCGTTGGTTGGTCTTACAACCTAGCCCTGTAGACTGGGATGCCCGTTGAAGGAATCTAGGATTAGGTTGCTACCTAGATATTTTCCCCTAAAAGTCGGACTTACGACTTCTATTAGAAGTGGCCGAGGGAATTCCGTGTGTACATTTGCTTCACTTAATAAATATGCTTAGTGAAATGATTGCATGTAGGCTTTACATCTTCTATTGTAGCTCAGGATTGCGCCTTTCTTTTATGGTTTTTAGATACAAGGAATAGTTCTGCTGATCTTCCTGTGTTTCTTTCATCTTTTCCTTTGAATTGCCTCTGATTTGAAAAGTTATGCAGGATCACTATTTCGCCTGTTACCTGTGCTCTATGTTTTGGATTTCATAGTGTCATTGATTCCTCAACTGCCCAGCTTTCTAATTCTATAAGCAGATAAAATTTCCTTATTTCATGAATTCTATTAATTGCAATGTTATAAAAATCGAGTAATTAACTGAAAAAATTGTTTTGCACCAAAGGTAAATTGAAAAGTTGCAACATTTAATCAACTTTTTGTAGGATTCTAAAAAACAAGTAATTTTTGAACTTTTTTTATTATAAATAGGACCCTAGATGCATTTCATGAATTCTATTAATTGCATTGTTATAAAAATCGAGTAATTAACTGAAAAGTTGTTTTGCACCAAAGGTAAATTGAAAAGATGCAACATTTAATCAACTTTTTGTAGGATTCTAATAAACAAGTAATTTTGGAACTTTTTTTTATTATAAATAGGACCCTAGAAGCATGTATTTTGATATGAATTGCTGAATAAAAGTTTCTATTTCCCTCTAACTTGAATGAGCAAGTAGAATGTGAATTCTTTCGAGCATGGTCAAGACTAGATGATAATTTCCAGAGATCTGTCTCCTTGTGTCGGCATGAGGCCTAAATCTTTAATTGATGAGTTTCATCCTTGTTCTTTTCACCAAACTATTATTTGAATATTTTTGTATGCCCAATTGATGTTAGATCAAACTCATTATAAGCCAACTTTCTTTTTGGCGATGCAAATTCTAAATCACAGTGAGGGCTTTTATTTATTCTCAAATTTCTTGTGATCAAAATTTGGCAACTTTTAAATTAACATTTGAAGTCATCTAAAACAGTTTTCTGGATTTGCATCAAAAGGAACTAATCATTAACCAAATTAAAAGCTGGGAAATTGCAAAATAAGGCCTTTTCTTTTCTGTGCATTTCATCTACAGTTTGCATTGATAAATATTATATCCTAAGTATGGGTGTCAATTCGGGTCAACGGGTCGGGTTCAGCTCGAACCCGAAACTGACCCGGCACTATTCGGGTCAACCCGAACCCGGCCCATTTTTAAAAACGGGTCAGGTTCTCGGACCCGAACCCAACCCGATTCGGATCCGGGTCAACCCGCCCCGACACGAATGACCCAGGGTTGACCCAAAATTGCTAGTTTTCGGGTCAATCTTCGATTTTCGGGTAAAAAACGGGTCAATCTCGGGTTTTCGGGTCAAATACGAGTTTTCGTGTCCATTTCGGGTCAATTTCGGATTGCTAGGTCAACCCGAACCCGACCCGATTTTTAAAACGGGTTGATTTTTTGAACCCGAACCCGACCCGTTTCAGGTCCGGGTTGACCCTAACCCGGATTTTTCCGGGTCGGGTCAAAAATTGACACCCCTAATCCTAAGACGTCGTGCATTATAATGACTATCATAATAACCATCAACACTTCAATATCATGATCCCAAGTAGCTCAAATAAGGCTATTGATGACAATGATACTAAATTTTAGTATGTCAAAGGAATATCTATGAAAGGTCCTGCCACCCTTATTTTCATCTTTCTTATCTCTATCAAACAGTCCCTCAATCTTAGGTGAGAAGCCTTGCATCTACAAATATATAAAATCAATACTCATTAAGAAAACAAATCCAAATAAACAAAGAAAGAGAGACCAAACTGTTTCTTCAATAGAGCATTTATTTATCATTTTCTAATCAAGCAAGGAATAAGACCATCCAACCAAAATTTAAGTAGCAAAAAAAATAATAAGAAATAGAAAACAAAACAAAAACAAATTCAAACATGGCCTAAGTTGATCAGCATAGATCAAGTGCAATAGATGTACCAATAGTAAAAAAATATAGTCAGTTAGAAGCAGCAGCAAGTACATCCAAAATGTTCATAGCTTGGAAATAAAGATTATTCAAAATAAGGATTGCTGATGGTAAAAAGGTTATACTTACTCCCAATACTATAATCAGCAGCCCTTGCAGCTTGCAGCCCTTCCCTGCCACTAATGCCTACACCAATGTCAGCTTGTTGTATCATCCTTACATCATTTCCACCGTCACCAATCGCCAAAGTTCTGAAGTCACATGATTTTAAGAGCTCCACAAGCTGCTTCAATTAACATTATTTAAAAATATCACTCAATTCTTCAAGTTCTCTATTGGAAAATAAAAATATGTCAAACAAATGACGCATTAAACCAGGAAATAACTGATGCAAACAGAAATCACAAATGTCAACAATAGCTTAACAAGCCACATCACAGAACTTGCAGAGCAAAAACAACTTGAGAACAATATTTGGAAAGAATCATGTATGATAATAGAATATAGATAAAATTGGCAATGTATAAGTTGGAAAGTGCATTAACAAATATGAATAAAATCTAAAAAGTATTATGCGGTGCAAATTCCTTCTTTTAATCATAAGTCAAAAGTCATCTTTATTTACGTCAGTATAGTCATTCTTGATCTGAGAGATGATGGCATTCATCATTCTTTTAAATTTTTTGCATTATTTATCTACGTTATGCATCATGCTTCATCCTTATTTCTCATTGTCAACTTTATAGGTGAAATGGTAATTTTCATTTTAGGCATGATTTCACTATCTTAATGTTGGTGGGATTAAAATTCCCATTAATCTGGAATTTCTATTATAAATCGTAAACCTTGAGTTGTAACTAGTTGACAACTGATACTAAATAAAGATGTGTGATGTGGCAGTTGCACTTGGAGCATGCAGTGATTTTTTGCATTAATCATTACAAAGAAAAGAAAAAAGTGTGGGATGTTCCCCAAATTATGCGTCCAGGGGATTGCAGTCATTTACATTTTAAGTAGCAGCGGGATGACAGGATTTCTACTGACTCTTTGGGCTTTTCTAGTCCCATGAGTAAAGAGAGGTGCATATGGTGATAACAGGGCTTTCTGGTGGACCTTGCACATGCAGTTACTGGTGAGTAGTTGCTCAAATGGATGGTGGCTTTATAGTTTTACTGCTGCTAGGTTGGTATTTCTTTAAAAGAGTGCACGTTTTAGATATACCTTGGGTCTATTCTTTAAAGCGATGGTGAAATAGATGGGCATATTATTATTAGAATTCAAATTAGATGATTGAAGTGGAGGAATGCATCGAGCATATTGTGTGATAGAAAAGTACTCCTCAAACTTAAGAGAGAGTTTATAAGTTGGTGCTGAGACCTATAATGCTTTATGACGCAAAATGTTGGTAGTTAAAAAAGAAACATAAAATAAGGTTAAGTGTTGCAGATACGAGGATGCTTAGATGGATGAGTGGCTTTACACTTCGAGACAGAATGCAAAACGAGTATATACGTGAAAAGGTTGGAGTAGCTTCAGTAGCATATAAGATTAGAGAGAGTAGCCTTACATTATATGGTCACATAAAACTTCAGACTTCCGATGACCATATTAGGAGAGCAAATGAATTAGATCCAACTTATATTAAGAAAGGTAAATGTAGACTTAAAAAGACTAAAAGTGATAATTTTTATTAGATTTAAATGAGAATTTAACTCTGAATAGAAAAAAATGGAGAAAAATGATTCATGTAGCCGATCCTACATAGTGGGACAAAGACTCGTTGTTGTTGTATCTATTTCTTATAGAGTAAAGGCTAAAAAGAGTTCCTCAACTATCAATAAATGTCCAATTTAGCCCTAAAGTTTTGCATTGCCCCATGTTAGTCACTAAACTATTAGATATTAAGCCAATTTGTTCCCTAGAAATGATTTGTTGTTTAAATTAATGGAAAGAACTCGAGAGATTTGCTTCTTTGTGGGCATTTACGTAAAATACCTGCTCTCGATGACTTCCCGCTATACGCCCTGGAGACTAATTTTTGCGAGTGAAGTTGAGTAGGAAACCCGAGCGACGCAAGCGAGACAGACAATGCAAGCAAGCAGGCCGAAAGCAAGAAGCACTGTAGCATGCTTTGATTTGCATTCCGGGTTAACATAAGGCTGCGAGATAGACGGCGCCTTACCGAGCAAGACCCTCCGAGTGAGCACAATGAGCTTTGACATTGTGAGGGGGAGATGATGAGCAAAGTGCGAAATCCATAAGGAGACAAAGCTAGGTTTGTTGTTTACAAGTTGTATATTCCCGCACTAATAACATAAAATAAGAGAAAATTATCTCCCATATCAGAAATATTTCTGGCCATTAAGATTGCTAACAGTTCACATTGTCGCTGTAAAATCGATTGCTCCAAATCCCATTCCACTGTTAATGAATTGGAAAAATATCTGGTGCACTGGCTTATCTTCCACCTCTGCTTGTTCCACCCAAATCACCTACATTATAAGGTTAAGTTCACTCCACATCAATTGCCAATTTTGACTACTATTCATTCAATAATGTTGTACTTCTTTTGTGCTCTGATGTACTAAAGGAGTAAGACTACTATCAAAAAACAAGGAATGGATTGCTCTGTGGGTGAATACTGAACAAGATCACTTGGATTATATAGATTTTTTTAATTTCAAAAGGGTATTTAAAGAGTAGATTTTGAACGATTGGTATAAGATTTTGATTAATATCAAAGTTTATTTAAAATCAAAGCAGTGAAATTATTACCAAATAAAACAGTTTGGCCAACATAGTTGTGAATTTAATGTTGAAGATATAGGAGTTAATGCTAAAATCCACATCATGTGGCTCATGGAGGTACAAGAGTTGTTTCAAGCCAAGACATAGTGAATGGAGCTATAGGAGAAGAATTTCTCTTTCTTTTTTATTTAATATTGGTTTAAATTTATATTTGGTCTTGTGCCTAATCAACTAATACTCTTCATTTTATCTTATTTTTATTAGGCCCATCAGGCATCAGAGAGAATCAAGAAATAACAGTTGAACCACCGATTTCTTTTAATAATGCTATCTAATCCTCGAATATTTATTTTGTTTTTTGATCTTTTTTTTTTGCCATTGGAGGGCATTTGTTATTCGATTAACTCTATTTGGGGTACTACAATTGGACTCATTGAAGGTGACCAACAACAAGTGTCATCGACTACAAATGTGAATATTTTTTAATAGTGAGTTCTTCCATTGGTTTTCTTCATTGACAAGTCTGAAGATTAATTTATAGTTGAGTTTATTTGAAATTGTATTGTTCAATATGTGTATATATTTAGCAGTCAAACAGGAAATAATGGACTACATGCATTAGTTTATGAGTGGCTAGAGGACTCCAATTTCTTACACGTTTTAGTGGTTTGTCCCAACCAACTACTATTAATATGTCATATGTTGATGTTGAGGATGTAGAAGCATCTGAGAGAAGTAGTTACCATAATGATGAGATGCCCAAAGACGATGATGAGGATGAGGATTATAACTTAACAGATGATTGTGAGCAGTTTGCAGACAATGATTATGAGATGCATGAGGACGATGAGTTATTTGAAAATATTGTGATTCTTTTCGTTGAATTTGTAGGCATTGCAAAGAAGGGAAAGAAAAATATCGGGTTTCCAAATATTAATTTTAATGATAAATTTAAAAGAAGTAATTGTGAAGCTGATTCTATGGATTCCAATAATGACGTTAGTGTTCATAGTGGCGAGGAAAATGATCGCAAAAGATGACCAGTTTTCAATCCTGAAGTTGATTGAAACAAGCAGATGTTTGAAGTGTGAATGGTATTCAGTAGCAAGGAAGAATTTAAAGTGGCTGTTCAAAATTAGTCTATTGCTAGTAGAAAATTAAGAAAGTTTTAAAAAAATGACAAAAGAAGATGTCGAGTTATTTACAGGAAATCTAATTGTCATTTTCTCCTCTACATCGCAAAGCATGAAGGAAGTCATTCATGGCAGATTAGGTCTTTGGAAGAGCATACATGTTTATGGACCTATCATAATAAAACTTTGACATCAACAGTTAAAACAAAAAAATGTGAATAAAATTATAATTGATCAACGTTATAAGACAATTTTTTTTGAAGATAAGTTATTGATGAGTTGATGCATTGATGCATTCATGTTTTTAGTTTATTTTTGTTTTAATGTAATTTGAACAATGTTAGTTGTGTTTTATATTTTTTTAAGCTATCCTATGATGGTTGGGCATCCAATGATCATGGTAGGAAAGTGCTAGGCATGGCAAGCCTTGGGTTTGCTTGCTCTTGGGTCCATTTAGTCCTTGGACTGCATGCTGTTTTCGGTTTGGTGATGTTGTTGCTCTTGGGTGAGCCTTGGCTGCTTGGTGTTAGCTCATAAATGTTTGAGCTGAAGTTTAGCTCAATGATTGGAGAATAAATGCACTTCCTAGCTCATTAAATCAAAAAGGCATGCTATTATTTCAAGCTCATTATTGAAGAGTTTATTGTGGAGTGGACTTGTGCCTCTTCTCCTTCCTTTGCCTTTTCGGTTTATGTTGGCTGTTGCTGTTCCCCTGGTTCTCCGTCTAGGTTTTCTCCTCCCAGATGCTTTTCCCGTGAACTGATGCCTTGTCTCCTATGCTGGCTCTTCGGGTCCCTTGCTGGCTGGTTTCACGTGGCTTGCTGGTGGGTTTTCCGTGGATTGTTCCCTGTTTTTCTGTGCAGAATTTCTGTTGTTGTTTTGTTGTCTTTTGGTCTTTCATTTGGTGACTTTTGGCCTTTCATTTCCCCAAATTTGATTGGATTTGGTTGGAGGTGTTATGGTTGTTTGTCTACCTTATTTTGCCTATAAAAAAGAGTTCTTTTGGGATGGAAAAGGTGGTTGAAAATTCTGAGCAAAGTCTCTACAAAAACCTGAGGGCTTCTTCTCTTCGAAAAGCTTGAGAGCTTGTTCCATCCCATTTCCTCCTCTCTATTTCGTCTTTGCTTCTAACCTCTTCTTCTCTACGCAAGTTACACTCCACCTGTATCCTTCTTCTTGAGCTTTAGAAGTTGTATGTTGGCTGAAATTTGGAGACATTTGCCGGAGGATTTTGGTAGGACGTTGGACTCTTTTGCAGTGGTGGACCCACGGTTTGCAAGCCTTAGCACAATTTTACTATATTTTCCTACTCTCGTTGCATGTGAGGAAACCGCTAGACGGTTATACTGAGGATAACATTTTATAATTTCATTTTGTTTCGTTTGATTTGGCTTTTGTTTCTTCG